ACGTATCATTCATAGACAGATTGCAAGAATTCATATTGGGTTATCATTGGGAATGAATAACCACGCATTACGGTTTATCACTACACAACGCAACCAATAATATTCAATTGAATTGTTGATTATCATCTAAGTTTCGGCCGTATTTCATTAGCCATCTTCAAGGTAGGAGGTTGATAGAGCTTCAGAGACTTCTTCCTTTATTTTCTGAAACGGTTGGTAGATTTGGAGCCAGAGGGTCTTATAACCTCAAAGTTTAGAAAAGCGTGTTTCTACTGACTGAAGAAAACTTTATCACCGATGACTCGATAAGGTCGGGATCGGCAGCCTGATTTTCAGATCTGCTTGGTCTTTTAGAACAGCACGCCGCTTTCTCAGAGTCAAAGCTACAAACTTGATGTTAGTATCCCCTTCCAATATCAAAGGGAACGTAGCGTTGTGAATTACACAGTTCCTTATGTCATTTAACCCAATGATATAATATAATGATATTGTTCATCTACATAAAACTTGCTTGATCTCTCAATATTTCTTGAAAAAGTATAAGAATCATATGAAGTTTTCCTATGATACTCATACCAGATAGGTAAGTTTTATTTCATGATACTGATGCAAATTTAAAGAAGATCGAACATTTCCACAAGTTTTTTCTAAAAACAGAAGTTAGTAAGCTCCTGTTAGAAGCATGCATTTCACCAGCAATTAATCTATGGAGTCAACTTTTTCATCTTCGTTGATTTGGTCAAAATTTTCCATAATCTTCCATACATTCAGGTTACCTGTGAGATTCTCTGTCCACCTCTTTACGGTTTCTTTCTTCTGTTTCCTGTTATGGCCATTCTTGATCAGTACATTTAAAACGGTAGAGAAGTAACACAGAAAATAGCATTCATTAATTAAGAACGAAACGAACGAAGATAAAATATTTTGTACTTGCTTTGCTGATTGTATTGAAAACTGAAAAATGTATAAAATCGGTTTATTTATACACAACTCAAGCAAGTTGGTCAATCGGTGATTGACCAGTACCGACGTTTCAGTTCGTCTCTGACGGGCTTTCTTGAGGCTGGCTCGAGTTGATTTTTGCAGTTAGTTCTGTGGTGTAATTAGTTCTGCTGTGATGCTTGGAGTCAAAAGTGTGCTTTTGGCCTATGCTGCTAGGCTAGTTGACTAATTTTTCAGCAACGGGCTTGATAAGGCTTGCCCGATTTGTGCAAAGTTCGTATCCTTTGTCCAGGTTGGCATTTTCGTAAAATTGATCATTAATAAAACTTTATCTGAACATTGCACGCATTGGACAAGTCTTACCAAGTCTGTTACCGAGAAACTACTTGATCATTTACTACAAACGTCACAACAGCTCTGAACCGCCGAATCAACTGCGGAAATCAACCCGGATCACCCTGAAGAAATTCCATGACAGACGAGCCGAAACGTAGATACTGGTCTATCATCGATTGAAATGGACACTACTGAACTGGATTCATGTGGTTTTTGACAGCATCTGGCGGAATTTGCTAATCCCTGAAAACTGGAAGTAGCGCGTGATCGTTCCCATATTCAAACGTGGGAATCGTTCTGATAGCGCCAACTACCGCTGGATTATGCTTCCGCCTATGCTGGGAAAGGTATTTAAGCGAATCCTCCTCCGAAGACTGAAGAACGCGTAGTTAAAGTTTCGCTTTGATCAAATCAAACAGGGTTTGTAATTGGACTTTAGTACCGATAACATGGCTGTACTAAAGAAGATAATCAAACAGGTAAGGAGCTTACCCTGCCATGGCTTCCAACCACCTCGAATTTCGAGCAGCTTTCGATTCTGCACCATGTATCGTGTTCAGTCTTTGTGGCGCCTACTGCGACACTCTGGGGTACTACAGAAGATCATCGGTCTGCTTAAAGGGCTGAAAAAAGATATTAAAGGAGCCATCAGAGCAGAAGAGTCGTTGTCGGATTGATTTAACATCAACAGTGGGGTACGCCAAGGAGAGGTGCTTCACTTCTTTTATTCAGCATGGTGGTGGATCAGGTGGTACGGAAGAGCGTCGTTCCCAATAACAACGGGATTTTACTATCAGACAACGACTCAGCCAAAAATACGCAGGAATACTGATAACAGGTCTCGAGTACGCTGACAGCATTGTACTGCTAAGTGACTCCTCAAATGGCTTACTGGCACTAACTCGAGAAGTGTGCACGGTGAGCCTAGAAGTTAACTCTACTGAAACGAAGATGGGGTGGCGAGCACCTGACTCGACTCACTACTCAAAAATTCAGTGGAGTGAAACGACTATCGACGAGGTCGAAAATTTTGCGCACTTCAGCTTTGTAGTGGGAAGGGATGGAAGCTGTGGTATGGAAGCAAAGCAGCGCTTAGGGTTAGCATTTGTGAACCTTAGCGATTTTCTAAAGTGTTGCAAGACGGATTTATCCGGACAGCAACAAAGATCGCTATGCTAAAAACCTACTGTATTCTCAATCCTATCGTAAGCCGTGAAACATCAACATATTTAAAGCGCCACAAAAATATGTTGGACACTTTTCAGCAGCGCTGCCTGCCGAACATACTCAAAGTGTGATGGTTCCATTGAATAAAGAATAAAAAGATTTTGGAGAACATCGGATGTTGTCTGAAGAAATCAGAGACAGGTATCTGTCGTGGTTTGACAGCCATCTAAAGAAAGAATGGAGATTTATCCAAAATTCTCCTCTGACGTCAGAGGCCAACGTCAGACCTTAAAGCAGCTGCTAGAGGCGGATTTAATTGCGACAAGAAACATAGCTTTTACCACAGCAACCAACATCGCCTGAATCATTCTGAGAAGCCAAAGCGTCAGATGTCATTAATCTGGGTACTCGGTCGTTGGTCTTAATACCCGAATGATGATGACAACAAAACAACAAGCACCTGCTTGCGTTGTCTATAAATAAGCCGTTTTAATGCATTTTTTCATAACGAAACAGACAGCATTTCGATCGATTTTCGAGAATTCTGTAAAAGAAGATTTACTACCCAGTTCACATCAAAAAGTTTGGAAGAATCCGTAAAATTGATCTAAGTTTAAATCGTATCATTTTATTAGCTCCATTCTTCTTAATAAGTTTCCAGATTTTCAAGTTTAATTTTAAAAATTAGCCTCCTTAATTAACTATTTTATTCAAGCCAGCCTATGAACTATTTTTTCTCTCATAGTCAAAGAGTGTTCGTCATTTTACTGGAATGTTCTGTCCAAGTCGCTGCCACATTCGTTACAAACAAATTTTAAAGTCGAATAAGTTACCCAAACTAAAGAAGGCAAGGAGTGAAGGAAAAATACGTTGACGGCCGTGAAGAAATACAGCAATAGCAGTATAGATATTATTGCATGCCACATGCACATACTGTATTGTAAAACCGTATTAAACCATGATTGCATTTCGAATCAAAAACAGAAACTTTCAGTTCCGTGAATTATGCAGACGAAGCTAAGCTAATTTTCAAGAAAAAATCGATTAAAATGACTGATGCGAATTTAAATTAACAAGAAATGTTAACTCAATCAAAGAAAGGTGAAATGAATATTGTAGTGTGTGAGAAAGATAGGACGAAAGGACAGTTAGTTGGTGAAAAATAAGGCAACCAAATGCAACGTTTGTTCAACAAAATCTTTCGCCAAAGCGCAATGCACTAACACACATAGGGAATGCGTTATTACCAGTTCATTAGTAATGTCAGAAATTAAAGTGATGCACTATGCGCTAAACTTCAGTATAGATTTATGATTTTCTCGAAAGCAATGCTGTTCCCGGTAGAAACTAAGAATTCATTCTAGACGGAAGGCGAAGTTAAAGATACCTGACTAGATATCTTACTGACCTGGAGTACGCAGATAATATCGTTCTGGTAAGTAGTACAGGGAGCGAGCTCTGTCACGGGACGGCTTACGTATACAGCACATCTGGGAAAGCCGGTCTTTTCCTTAACGCCTGGAAGTCAGAAGTACTTAGGAATCTATCCAACATAGCTGGCTTACCCACAGGTGGCATAGGGAGGTGAAGTGCGTCAGACGGTGTACAAGTTTAAGTGTCTTGGATCCACCATCTCCAGCAATGGCACTATCCAGCCAGAATTAGATAGAAGGATCGCCCAGTTCAAGGATTTATGGAAACCTGTCCAATATTTGGCTGAGAAAGAAGTTACTCCTTCTACAAAATTCCGCCTGTACCTTGCCTCAGTTATGTCATTTTCATTCTGTATTATTCAAGTTAGCCTAATGATGTCGTTTATGTTGGCAACAGAAAGCATGGAATGGAATGAAATTAAGTTGGTAACTACTGTGTACTGGCCTCTATAATTAAGTATCAACTCAATACGAAAGTAGACAAAGCCCGGAAACCAAATATGTTAACTTTTGCTTTGTATCTGAAATGAGGATGAGTTTTGCTAGCTTTCATTGCAACCGTTCGCTTGCGAAGTCTCGTAAAGTTTTATCCTTGTTAAAAGTAAGTCATTTCTTAGTTTGTTTCATGGCATACTCGGAAATCATACAACACTACCTAGAAATGAATTGAAATTGAACATGCATTAGCGCAATAAACAAGCTGTTCATAAGGCTGGCCATCTGGGTAGTCAGGGTAGTGATCGCCTTAAGCGTCTTTACTCAGACTCCTAAGAACAAATGTATTTTTTGATTGAACCAGGAATCAGTTATAAAATTCTATCCAAGCAAACGACAGAGAAAGTTTTCGCCGCCAGCAAAGCTCTCGCTAACATATAGTGAATTGTTCAGTCGTATACTATCGGTTTCTGAAGCAAACTTGAACGAATCAGGAAGCATGTTTTTCCATCGGTCATAAAACAGCGGCAGATAAAAATTGTAATTGTTAATTTATTAACCATCATTTTTTACTTTCAGGTTGCGACAGGGAAAAATTTATGACTATTCATTATCAGATCAAACCTTGCAGAGCTTTGTCGACTTTGCTCTCTACCGATTCAAGAAAGTCAAATCGTATCCTGTTCCGCGTCCTCCGTCACAACTGTAAGAAATTATGAATTAAATCTTTTAACTGTTGGTAAATATATTTAAAATCATGAAAATTAATGTAAATTTGCAATATAGAGAGAGTTAAGTAAAAAAGATGGAAATTTTGTCAGATCAGTAATGAAACGTGGCTATAGAGCTGAAATCTTGCTTTCCATGTTCAACTTTAATGCACGAAGATTCCTCGATGGCATCAACTACCCCGTCCACCCGGTAGTTGTTTTCAGAAAACGTTTAAGGGATTGGTAAATATAAAATTGC